ATAAGTTTTTATTAAAAAAATTAAACTTTTTAATAAAAACACAAGCAAATTTGCCTGTGTTACAATTTAAGGGATAAGTCTTATATTGTTAAAATAATTTGATTTGTTCTATTTTTGTAGCATTTTGCTTTTATTAAGTGTCACTTTAATATATTATTTATAGCAGATTTTTGAATACTACTCAAATGCCTTCTTTCAACTTTGATAACATCTATCTCATTTGCAGCAAATTTTAAACACTATTTAAATACCTACTTTTTGTCTCTAACAATACCTAACCTTCCTCTTATTTTTTTTAACAAATTACTACTCTGAACAGATCTTAAATACATTTGAACACTTTTTTCATCTTTAATAACATTTTATTATTATTATATACAATAAGTTTTTTTTTAACAATAATAAATATTGAAATGCTAAATAATTTACATATTGCATGCCTCATTTTAACACTTACTTGTTTCAATCTGAAAATTCATTTGTAAATTAGTTTAATAAAATTATGCTTTTTCTTTTATTCATTTTTATAAAAGAAATACCTAATATAACTCTAATTATATATGAATCATCTTGCAATTATAACTTCTTAAATGGTACTATAATTGGAAGGTTCAGATCATAGACAAAGAACATTTTTAAAATTCACACTTTTTGTAGGTTATGCTCATGCATTCATATGCATAAATTCTACTAGTGTATTATATAGCATCTTACCATATTTTAATTGGTTAATATACACATGACCAGAGATTTTCAGTTAAGATTATTCAAAAGTTTTACCTAAAAATAAGCACTCTCTATATAATAAAAGGGGTGCTTATTTTCAGTAATTTACAGTATTGTTTAGAAATAGTTCTTATATACTATTTGTTGATTTTTTCAGAATTTATCACTTACTATTATGACAAACATAGTACTTGTTATTTAAAATAGTTCTCATATGCTATCTGCTAACAAGTTTAAAGTTTATCACTCATGCTCTAATATAGACTTTAGTTAATTTTAGTAAAAGAAACTTACACTTTTTTATTTTGTATACAAGTGGTTCTTTCTCTCTTTTTGGCATTGTTTACACTTTTTATTTTCAAATAGACAAAGTAGGATATGAATATAAAATTGCTTTGACAATAATATTCTTACATCACATGACAAACCAATTGATACTTTAGTTAATAAATCGACCCAGATTGAATAGTAATTGAAAGAAAATTTTAAGAATAAGGTTTAACTTTATAATAGGGATATTCAAGATTTTTAAATTTAGTATATAATTTTTACAACTATATCAGACTTTTTCATAGATTGTTTTTTTTTTTGCTTTTTTCTTTTCTTTTATTTGTTTTTTGTTATTTGTTTTCTTGTTGTTTAAATAGTTTTTTTCTCTCCTATTGTTTTGTTCCCTTTATTGTTTTTGTATTAATATTTTTTTTTATAAGTTAGTTGAAGACTATGATTTCTTCTACTTGAGAAGCTAGAAGAAAAAGATTAGAAAAGATGATAATCTTGATAGACCATAAATACCATTCAGTGATATATACAGTATATCGAAGCATCCAGTTGCAGGGTTTTTTGATATAGAGATAAACTTTACTATAGCAGATTGAACATGGGTAATTTGGACATTTTGGTGTCACAAAGAGCTAGGTTAGCTTAATATTTGTAATTTAGGTAGGTTTTAAATAACTTGAGCATAAATTATATTTTCCCTGTAAGTTAATTATTAAACCTAATAAAGTATTAGCAAGGTTGATAAATTAAAAAAAAAAAAAAAAAAAAATTAAATTATATAAATCTTTATTTTATATTAAAATTATACCTAACTCTAAAAAATTAAAGATAGCTAACATTATCACAGATTAAAAATTTTTTTTGGTCTATTTTTTCTTTTGCTATAAGAGGCTCTATATTTGATATAATTAAATCAACCATCATTTTAAAAATATGTCGGCTTAAGAATACCTGATTAGTACGTTAGTTCTTTTCTATTTATTATAATTTTTTTTTTTAAAAAATATTAAATATTGTTTGTAATTGGCGAATTTACTATAAATACATACTATAAAATTTTAGCAACTTTAGTATTTTAACTAAAGCTTCTTTCTTGTCTAGTTTCATCTGATCCTATCAATATTCCAATCTTGTTTTATAAAATTATATATCAAAAAAATAATAAAATTAAATTCTAAACAAGATTATCTTTGAGCTATTGATATGTTTTTAAAACTATTGTACAACACTGCGTCTGATTGTCTATCATTTCTATCATTACAATTTGTACTACGATAGAAAGTTTCAACTAGCAGTTAAAGAAAATTGAGCAAATCAAAATTCATCTTGACAAAGTAACACTTGAAGTGTTTGTTCTTTTGACTGCAAAGGCGGCAAAGTTTGGTCACTAAAATATTTTAACTATTGCATCAGCTCAAGATAGTCCATAATCGTCCTTTAGCACCAAACTGATTCACGTTATAAAAAATAATCCTTCTAATGGCAACCACAGCCGATTTCGCAGACGTTGATGGCTGGATTCAGCATCTTATGCAATGTAAGCAGCTGCCAGAAGCTGATGTAAAGAGATTGTGCGACAAGGTAACTGGATTGGAAAACAAAGAATAGCTTCCAAACCTTCATGTTGAATCATCTACTACCCACTGAGCTTTTCACTTTTTTATGGAGGTTTTATTGACCTTAATAAATTCGCATTATTTTTTCGAAACAAATTTTTTTTTTGAGTTATTTATGCTATATTAATTCTTAGCTTTACGTTAAGATTCTAATTTCCTGAAGAAATTATGACTTACTAAAAATAATTTTATAATTCGTAAATTGTCGAATATATTTATACAGGCCCGTGAAATTCTTACAGAAGAGTCCAATGTGCAACCCGTTAGATGCCCTGTGACAGTTTGTGGGGACATTCACGGTCAATTTCATGATCTGATGGAGCTTTTCCGTATTGGCGGGAATTCGCCTGACACGAATTATCTATTCATGGGAGATTACGTTGACCGTGGATATTATTCCGTTGAAACTGTTACTCTTCTTGTCGCTCTCAAAGTCAGATATAGAGATCGAGTTACAATTCTTCGGGGCAACCATGAGTCTAGGCAAATCACTCAAGTATACGGGTTTTATGATGAATGCCTAAGGAAATACGGCAATGCGAATGTCTGGAAGTTTTTCACCGACCTGTTCGATTATTTACCTTTGACAGCATTAATTGATGACCAGGTTAGTTGGTAATCTGTAATATATATGTGTATTTGTTTTAATATCAATAACTATATCTCCATTGCGATTTAAATTAATAAATTTAACAGATCTTTTGTCTTCACGGTGGCCTATCTCCATCTATTGATACGTTAGACCACATTCGGTCTTTGGACAGAATTCAAGAAGTTCCCCATGAAGGTCCTATGTGCGATTTGTTATGGTCTGACCCAGATGATCGATGCGGATGGGGAATTTCGCCCAGAGGTGCTGGATATACCTTTGGGCAAGATATATCAGAGGCATTCAATCATAACAATGGGCTAACGTTGATTGCTAGAGCTCATCAATTGGTTATGGAGGTATATATTTGCTTTTCGTATAATTTTTATGTTTTATTTGTTAATATATATTCACAATACAGGGATATAATTGGTCGCAAGATAGAAATGTTGTTACAATCTTCAGTGCTCCAAATTATTGCTATCGTTGTGGTAATCAAGCCGCCATTATGGAAATTGATGAGCACTTAAAATATACATTGTAAGTTATCATGTTTGTTAGTTGTTTCAAAAAAAGAAAGCTTTTTGAAATTTTTGTTAAATCAAAAAAAAAATAGTTTGCAGTTTGATCCCGCCCCGAGAAGAGGAGAACCTCACGTAACTCGCAGAACGCCGGATTATTTCTTGTAAAACTTTTGCTAAAGTATGATTTGCGTTAGTGGTTGGACCCGTCTGAAAAATCATGACCCGGGTAACCCGGCGGGTAAACCCGCGGGTCACCCGGGTGTATGGTTCACGTCACTTATAGTCATCAAAAAAATCCATATAATTTCAAATAACATCTTGTCTTTTAATTTAAGTGGTATTGAAAATATAAACCGTAAAAATAATAAACCTAAAGCTTCTCATTCAGATTTACGGTTTGCTTTTTTTAATCGTTTGTTATTTGGTGAAATATTAAAGTTAAAAATTAAGTGTTTTCTCAAATTTCGGACTAAATATAATTTTTTCTTTGGTGATATGAAATTTTGACCAATAATAACCAAGGCACATGATTAAAATCTATAAAAATTTCGGAAAGTTTGATGAGTATAGGTGATGTAAACCATATATATTATATTTATATTTATGCAATATTTAAATATATATATTAAATTAGTATTTTTAATTTTATATATATTTGGAGAACATCTAAAGTGGAGATAAATCATGTCAATTAAATTTAGAATTAGCGTTACTTTAGTATAAGATTATAAGAGATTTTAGATAATTATATATATATAAAATTGCCTTTCTGATATTTTTAATTAATTTTACAAAGTAGATTTAGGCTACTAATTTTTTATTTATTAGATTTTTTACTTTTTTTTCATTAGCTTTGCTACAATCATCAAAATTCTATAATTTGATTGGTGGTTAATCACATGATTTATCTCTGCATTAGATGATACTATTTGTTCAAAACCAATTAAATTTAGTTTTGGTTTTGGACAAGGTTTTGGACAGGTTTTAGACACAGTGTCCAAAAACCAAAACTGTCCAATTGACAACACTGGCTTAGAGTGTCCAGGATTATGCGCCAGTAATTGCCAAATTATGTGTGCGGCAAATTGCAAATTATGTGAATTATGCAGGGTTTTTAACTATATATAAAATAAAATAAATTTTTGTCTCTATTGTATTATATACAAAAAAATAGCTCACTTTATTATTTACTAGCACCCTACCCATGGCTCTGCTACGGTTCTGTAAAAATTTATAAAAATTTTAAGAGCTTGATTAGGAATTCATAAATTTCATTAAGTGTGGATTATATAATATTAATAAAATAGTTATATATAACTCTTACTCTATATTAGACTACCCTTAACTTTCAAAAGGGCAGTTATAAAAGTGTGTACCACTAATGGGGATATTAGATTGATATTCTAATAGTAATATTTATTTCAGTAAATAATCCTGAAATTAAATAAATTATTAACTTCGATTAATAAAAGTTCATACATATACTAAGTCAGAATAATAAAAATAAGATTAATTGCGTATCTTGAATACTTTGACAAATTAAAACTTTTAAACTTTCAAACCAAGAATTGAATTATAAAGATTTCATTGCGATCTATTGTAAAAATTCTAGTAATTAAGGTTGAGTTAGCTTTGTATTGGAATTAATATAATTTTTATTATAAATTACTATATAAAACATACTTTCTATTCTGGTGAACGTATTATATAATTAAGGCTGAGTTAATTTGTACTGGAATTGTCGTAAGATTGAGTTAGTTTGTATTAAAATTATCATGATCTCTATTGTGAATTATCATAAAAAATTCTGGTAAAAAATTTACTCATTCCAGTGGTATATAGTATGTAGTTAAGTTGTATAATTTTTACTAAGTTACTGTAATAAAACCTGCAATATATAATATGTGTTTAAGGTTGAGTTAGTTTGTATAATTTTTATTGTGAGTTATTGTACAGTCATATCTGAGTTATATCCCCACTGGGTTATATCCCAACCTGAGTTATATCCCTATTTTTAGAAGAATAAATTTCCTTTTTTTATATAGTTTATATATTGAGTTATATCCCCACCTTAGTTATATCACCAAA